GGAGTCAGTACAGCAGAGCCAGCTGCCGAGGCTCACAGCCTGGCCTCTAATTAAAACAGTGGAAAATGAGATAACTCCATAGATCCATCATGGCCGCCGTTGGCTGTCAGAGCGCTCGGGGGCTGCCACCCACCGTATGTTTACACCAGGGCCACTCGGCCTCTCTGCTCTCAGGGTGTTTTTAGAGTCCCGGCCTGATTTCTCTAATGGGCCGAGAGGTTTTTTTAGCCTCCTTCCACCCTTGCTTTGCTTCGGACCCCTCGCTCTCCCATTTTTTTTTTCTGATTCCCACCCCTTTCTTGGAGTGTTACTGAAGGGGCTGGTGGAGGCCTGGGATGGCAGGCCGCCACCTCCCCTCCCCTCCATCCATATTTCCCACCCACTCTGCCTCGTTAGCCCTTCATTTATTAGGTCCTAATGGAAGCTGGGAGTGCTGTGATGTCATGTAGTCATGTGTGTACAAAGAGGAAAGAGCTTTCTTCAGTGTTTTTTTTTCTTTCTTCTTCTTCCTTCATCCTTTTTAGTGGTGCCTCATGTTCTTCATTTTGGAGAAACGGTCCATTTTGTCCTTGAGTGCTTCTGCGAGGAAATTCTTTTCATTAATTGTAACATTTTCAAATGTCTGCGCAGCAGAAAAGAACATTTACACAAATATTTATGTGTATCTGAAGGGATATTTGACCAAACCAATGTCTTTATCCATCAATTAGCTCCTTTTATGCTAACATTTAAAAACATTTCTGGTTTAGATTTTCTACATTAAGATAAAGAATTCTGCAGTGTTTGTTCTGTGCCAACTTTGATTCATTTTTGCTTTGTGTTTATAGCTTTTTTTTAACTGTTTTTTTGGCCAGATGTTTGATCGTCTCTGTGGTTCTTCTTCTGCTTTGCTTGCTTAGGAGGAACCTAACTTATTAAAACATTTATTAACTAAATAGAAACCCACAAATATTTATTTATATATGTAGGCAATTTTGAGTCATTTCACTTAGCTTCTTGAACTGTTTCCAGTTAGTTACAATAGATACTTAGCTAGCTTCAGGCTAATTAAGAAGTACTACAGTTAAATCGATGTTAAAATGTCAGATTCAAATATTCTGTTAATAATTTCTCTTATGTACAGACTTGTCATCTAATACATGTGGCATTTTATTAAACGTCTAAACCGTTAAAACCTCAGTGACCAGGAAAACATTTTAGCTGTCAGGGCTGCCTTTGGAAAACCTAATTTAAGGAGTTTTTTTTTTTTCAACCATTGACATTTTCATTGCCGCTAACAGGGTGCGAACACGTCTCCAGCTGTGACGAGTCCTTCAACTCTACCTCCACATTCCTTCCAGTGGTAAAGAGCTGCTGTTCTCTCTGCCTGTGAAGGGGAAACAGAGCTGGTGGCTGGATTCCTCTGCCGTGTGTTGGCAGAGGATGTGGAAGAGGCCTTAGGATCATTAGTGAGGCTGGCATGAGAGGCCGAAGCAGATCTGCTAACACTCTGCCATTATTCAGCAAGAATGAAGGCACATTTCTCTGACTCTAATCACCGCCGCAGTTATACTGGCCTTTAAATGGCAGCTGTCAAAATAGGTCTTTTCTACACAGACTAGCACAGGCAGCCTTGGCATGTTCCAAGACCCTGCCTATGAATGAGCTGCTGACCAAGGTGTGATGAAAAATGGTCTGTTCTTCTGAACAGAATCACTGAGGCTCTGCTCTTCTCTCTGCACAATATCTTATATAAGAAGGACAAAAAAAAAACTTAAACTTAAAGACGACATTATTGGACTGAAGTCTGTGATTAAGTGTCTCCAGGAATATGAGACAAGCTTAAGGGCCGACACCGTTCTCCTTTGATTACTCAAGCTCATTGAAATGCATGACAAATTTAGTGCATTACATTTTTTGGTTGAATTGCAGTACAGTATACAATAATTACAAGTCTTGAATTCAAAGTTTTTATAAAAATTTAACTTGTCTTCTACACTGAAAAAATGTAAGAGAAAGCCAGGATAGTTTGGCACTTTAATGTGGATATATTTTTGATCAAATTTTTAGAAGAAAATACAGAACTTGTTACAGAAAGGGATTAAAAATTGAGAACTGTAGTTAAAATAGTTAAACTACTATATTAAAATAAACTTAGTACAGAAAAAATTTAAATTGACCTCAATGTAAAAATTGAGAACTGTAGTTAAAATAGGTAAACTACTATATTAAAATTAATTTAGTACAGAAAAAAATTAAATTGACCTCAATGTAGTTAGAGAATGTATTACATTTAGCAGAAACTAGTGAGGTTCTGCAGAGACTAATACATATTAGGCTAAATATGGTAACTAAAATAACAAAAAAATATATATATTTAAAGGTTAAAAAGGACAAACAAAACATATTTGTAAATTCTAAAAATCTAAAAAAAAAAGACAAAACTAAATATCTACGATTAAAACAAAAAAAAAAATCATTGTCCATGTTAAATATGTTTTGGAGCATTTTCTGACCCTGGGGCCAGACTTTGGACACGCCTGACTTGTAGGATGTTTCCCTTTAGCCCAGAGCTGATGAGAGCCGTGAAATCATATCAGTTTCCGACTCTTTACCATTATTTTAAATCCATTGGTCACATTTGAGTCTGCATTACTTCATTAGACAAAGAAAACACGGAGCGACGCAGGAGAGATGAGCAAGCTGTGAGTTGTGAAGCGTTTGCGTGCATGTGTGCGAGGCCACCCAGCTGCACAGCTCATTACTTTCAGCAACACATTACTTCATGTTTCAGGCTAAATATCATTACACAAACCCCCCATTGATCAAGCGGGCCGCGAGTGCAGCGCGGCTGATGACAAAATACCACAAATGTGATACTGTGTCCTGTAACGTGATCTATGTTTTTGTTCTCATTTCAGAGGCGTGCACGCCCTGCTCGCTCCGTGGCATGTGCCTCATTTAGAAATCAAGCCGGGATCATTAGAAAGATCTTTCTCCTTCTCTCTCTCAGTAGTGGCCAACACGTTCACAGACATCAACAGATGTCAAATTACTCCACAATTAGTCCACTGGGCCTCATTGCACCGCTGCATTGTGTGCTTTTGCTAAGCGAAAGCATAGAGGAGCATGCTTTGATTTCTAGGAGATGACAAGTCATCCATCAAGCTGAACCAGCACTCTGCCCACTCACTGCACAGGATAGAAAGTCTACAAACCCCTGTTCACTAATGGCTGGCTGTTTAGTTAAAAAAAAAACAAAAAAAAAAACGGTATTGTCCTGCTAAAAATCAAACTAACAATTAAAACGTTTGAGTTAATTTCAATCAAACCAAATAAAATTAAGATACAAAATTAATGAAACAAAATAACTCAGTTCTGCCTGTGTTCATAAACAAATACTCACATTAAAACTAAGGCACATTTTCCAGTGAGTAAACACCTGCATTTGAATAAAGAGACTCAATTAAATGATATTTTTATTCGGATTAGCTAAGCTAGTTTAGCTGATAAGACTTACAGTAGAAAAACCAAAAGACGTTTTTATGTTTTTATGTGATGAAGCAGGAATAAATAAATTAGTATAAATGTGTATAAAGCAGATCCAGATGAAAATGTGTGGGTGGGTCAACAAATTCTAAAACATATGGTAATAATTTTTTTGTTACATTTTATTTGGTCAGGTTTTTCAATACTCAATAAAAACCTTGAAATTGTAACCATGCCACCTTGCAACAGTGTTTTTTTAAACTTTGACATGTTTTAAATAAAAATAGAAAAACAAAACTACAATAATGATAATAATAATTTAGTAAGTCAAAATTATCTAAACAGGTTACACAACTACAAGTTTACCTGGTTTACTAAGAGAATAACTCTACAAATTCTCAAATCACTGTGAAGATAATTACTAAGGTTCAAAAACATGATTTTCTACAATTTAGTTTTCATAAAAAACAAAAAACAAAAGCTGTGTGGACCCATTGTTTTCTTTCTCTCTTCACTGTGATCTTCCGTCTCACTCTCTTCATCCTGACCTCACTCCACTTGCTCCCTCTCTGCCCTCTCTGACTTTCTATCCCCTCCTCCCTGTCACTCTCAGTCAGCACGAAAAAAGGTCATTGCGAGAGTCGGCCCAGAGAAAGAACAGGAGAGTAAACAGGGGAGAGAGATCAAGAGCGTTTTACACCCGGTATAAATATTTGTAGAAATGTGGCTGGAACACGTGGAACACACATGAAGGAGGAGAGGAGAAAAAAAAGGGAAGAGAGAGAGGGAGAGAGGGAGGGCGGGGAGAACATCGTGGCTGTAGGATTTCTGCACACATGAACACAAGAGCCACATCGAAGCGTGGACTTGTACACAAATCTACAAAGTCTTTCTCCTGCTGATGGCATTCGGGGTAGCAGAGCAAAGACCACCCTCCAACCAAAGAGCTCCTGGTACAAATGCTGCAGTCAGTAATGCTGCAGTGTCCTTGACTGCCGTATCAAATGCCTCCTGCTCCAGATGCTTCATATGAAAAACTTCCCATGTGTAAATCAGCTCAGCTGTGATGATTATTACTTTAAGAGTCAGAATATAATCTCATGGTGAAATTATGCTGGATAATGTGACTTGCAGACATGTTGGAGAGCTTTAACTGGCTGTCATCAGAGAGGCCTGTCAGGCCCCTGTCAGCTGACGGACCGCTGAGTTCAAATTGCACACAGCTGCTTTCAGTCTCGACACCTCAGCCCTTAATGACTGATAAATGTGCACGCGCCAGCGCACATGCACGCACACACTCTGTTGTAATGCTTCTGGGGTTCCAGACTGTGATGGATGGACAGGTGAGAAGACCCCGGTGCAGGGAGTGTGAGAGTGAATGTGAAGCAGCCGGGTGTTGACAGAGAGATAAGTCTGTATGTGTGGACGGCAGATAACAGGACAGAGAAGTGGAGACCTGATCTCATGTGTCAAAGATGGACACCGATCACGAGATGAAGCAGTGATCAAGGCATTGTAGGAGCAAACTTTTTTTTTTTCAGAACTCTCTCTCTTTTTTTTTTTTAACTTTGCACGCAGGAACCACTTTTGATTTCATCACAGCACATACCACTGATGAATGATGAAACGGTATTTTGTTTGTAAATTTATGTTTGCAGTGAGTTTGGGGTTTGAACTGTCTTTTGGAAAAGCACAAGGTCATAATTAACTTAGTTCGTAATTGAGGGAAAAAACTGTCAAAAGTGCCAACAACTGGACTGTGAAATTAGCGAACTAAACTGGAAGAGTTGTCACCAGCCTAGTTGCCAGGTTTACTTGTTTTAAGCAGTTTGTTTCTGTGAATTCCCTTAAAAAATGTTGATACCTTTGGGTAACACTTTTAGGCCTTGTTTATGAAGTCTGCCTTTTAATGCTAGGCTAAAAAAAAAATCACAGACTATTGAAAATTAATTGGTTTCTTTCTCATTCATTGTAAAGCCACAATTGTCGTTGGTTGGTGCGTCGATGATTTGCTTATCTTATAAAATCTGGCAACGTTGGTCTCCCGACGCACAGTGGGCGGAGTCTAGTACTAATCTGCTTATAAATAATAATTGCACGCTAAACTTACGTTTTTTTTTCTTCAAAAAAACAGCTGGCCATTTAATTGGATAGCTAAGTAAAACACTAACAACAACATGACAAATATAAATAAATTGTTTTTAAGCACGGAGCTTACGCCTTGACGTGGAACGTCTTAAACGTGGATCGACGTAAAAACTGATGACGCAGTTTGTAAATAATCATGAACTGGCGGCGCGGCTAGTTGTTGTTGGCTAACGGCTATACTTTACGAACGAGTTTGTGGAAATATTTAAATGGAGTCGAATAAAGTCTTGACTTTGACTTATGGCAACACTGAGTAAGGAAAAGTAGAAGGATTTCTTTGTTCAAACCACCATATCAAGAGGAGAAACTACTAAAACTACTTCCGCTGCTGCTGCACCTGTTACAGAGATTGTGGGATATGGAGGTTCCTGTTAGCTGAGCCGGAGAGGTCCCATAGCCGGGTAGGTAAGTATAATGAAATATGTGATTTAAATAAAATGGCTGCTAATGGGACCGTGGTCAATGAAGCTAATGTTTTGTTTTTTGCTAATTTTTATTGTTTTGAAACTGTCTGGTTTTATTTTCTACATTTATTACTAAAAATGATTTTTTTTAAACTGTACCTGCACTGAAGAAATGTCTTTATGGCTAAGCTGGGATATCAATTGCGGGTTTTAATTCGCTTTGGGAGAATTGTTGAAAGTATGTGATAATGAAATGAAAGAATAATATACTAAATAATACTGTATAAAAATAGCAATTTATTAAGTTAGAGATACATTTCACGAGATGGCAGGTACTCTTATCCTGCAGTAAAAAAGTCACCAGTTTGTGAGTCCTTTTGGAAGAAAAGAAAAGTGCATGTGATACATGAAGAGACACCTGTGGCTTGCCATTAAGAGAAATACTGCATTATGATAATTGCAAAAATGTAGGGTTTGCCCAAAGTCATTATTTAGTTTATTAACTGCTCTTTATTTTTTTAAGAAAATCTCAGAGGGACATGCATCTCTTTGGAGCAACATCCATCAAAGTGCTGCAGCTTGACCTTCACAAGAGTAGGACTGATTACAATGAAGGTAACTTTGCTATTCGTTAAGTTTTTATATTTTTCTTTAAGAGAATTACTCTGAAGGTCGATGAAATATGAACAGTTTCCTCTAGACACACTCACTTTTGCTTAATGTATTAGAAAACAATTTTTAAACTAAAAATAAATATTGGTTTTGTTGGAATTTGGCCATGGTTGCTATCATATCTACCTTGACAGCCACTGGCTGGGGACCATTCACTTGCTCTCTTCCGTTGCACTGCTGATCATCACTGCTGCCATAAAAGGAGGGAAACATCCTGTGAACTCAGACACAGACAAGAAAAGAAAAAAGATGGTAGCTCTCTGTGTCCCTCTGTATTAGTCACATTCTCACTGAACTCTGTTCTGCCGCTGTTTCCACTTTCCTGACTCTGTCAGCGAGTATACAAAAAATCTACCAAAAGTATATGTCAGAGTTGGGTGTAGGCCTTTTTTTTAACCTAAAACTATCAAAGACATACGTGCTGTTTAATTCTATTAATCCTTTTTGCACACTTGAGACTAAATCCACTTCCACTCCTTCACTGGTTTTCACAGAGTCAAAAGAGTTAAAAGACCACCATTAGCCTGTGTCTTCTCAGTTCAGCCCAGTGTAACCCCCTGGCCACTTGTCTAAGGCTTCAGATGTCCTCCTCAGCACAGGGAAATTGAGTGGTGAACAGATAAAGATACTAGTTGAGTAGATCTGGTATGAGCTGATGGGGTTTGGGGGTGGGGAGGGAGTCCCAGGAGCATGAGGGTCATTTAGCTGCTCTCTCTGGTTTGGCAAAGGAATGTCAGAAACAGCCATGATGGATTGTAAAGTCTTAGCCTGTGTAGTATAATTAGAAGTGTTTGATCCTATGTCATTTGTATTTGTTTGGAAGAAAAATAAGATCAGGAATACGTTCAGTCTGATCAAAGGGAGTGTGTAACGGCTGCTGGTAGAAAGTCGGCAAACTGGGTAAAATGTGTGTGGAGAAAATGTTTTATAGGTAGCAGTTGTTACGCTTGCACATACATTGTTTTGACTGTGACTGAAACTGTGATAAAGCAGGAC